CGTCTCGTTGACGTCGTGCCATGTCATCGGTGTTCCCTGCCCCTAGAAAGCACTCGTCATCATCGTCGTCGCTGCTGCCGGAAGGTGTTTCGACAGGGGCCCTGGACAGGCAGTCAGCGTCGCTGTGCTTGCGTCCTGACTTGTAAACCACAGTCATGTTGAACTCTTGTAGTCGGAGGCTCCATCGAGCGAGGCGTCCTGACGGGTCCTTGAGGTTCGCAAGCCAGCAGAGCGAGTGGTGGTCCGTGACTACGCGGAACGGGCTTCCGTACAAGTACGGACGAAACTTCGTGATTGCCCAGACGACCGCAAGGCATTCTTTCTCAGTCGTGGAGTAATTTCTCTCTGCCTTGGACAGTGTCCGACTTGCGTAGGCGATGATTCTTCCGGTGCCTTCTTGTACTTGAACTAGTACCGCGCCAAGTCCTGCGTTGCTTGCGTCAGTGTGAATCTCGGTGTCCGCATCCTGATCGAAATGTCCAAGAACCGGAGGCGTCTGGAGTCGTCGCTTCAGCTCGTCGAATGCCTGCTGCTGTTCCTCGGCCCATTCGAACCTCTCGGCGTCCTTCGTGAGGTTTGTGAGTGGTGCTGAAATCCGTGCGAAATCCCGAACGAAGCGACGATAGTAGGCGCAAAGTCCAAGGAATCTTCTCGCGGCCTTTTTGTCTGTCGGCGCTGGAAATGACGCGACGGCGCGAGTCTTCTCAGGGTCTGGGCGCACGCCTTCGTTGCTAACCACGTGACCTAGAAACTTCAGTTCGTCATAGGCGAACCGACACTTTGACGGTTTGAGGGTGAGTCCACCGGTCCGTATGGCTTGAAGAACAGCTCGGAGTCATCGCAAGTGCTCGTCGAAGTCGCTGGAAAACACCACGACGTCATCGAGGTAGACCAGACAGCTCTGCCACTTCAGTCCTGCCAGTACGGTGTCCATAACACGCTGGAAAGTTGCTGGAGCCGTGCCCAGTCCGAAGGGCATCACCTTGAACTCGTACAGCCCATCTGGCGTGACGAAAGCTGTCTTCTCTCGGTCCCGTTCGTCGACTTCGATCTGCCAGTAACCGCTCTTCAGGTCCATCGATGAGAAGTATCGAGAGTGGCGCAGCCGGTTTAACGTGTCGTCGATTCGGGGGAGTGGGTAGACGTCTTTCTTCGTCACCGTGTTCAGCGGCCGGTAGTCCACGCAGAACCGAAGCGTTCCGTCCTTCTTCTTAACCAATACGACTGGAGAGGCCCACGGACTGCTTGATGGTTGGATTATGTCGTCGTTCAGCATCTCTTGAACTTGCTGCTGGATCACCTCCCTTTCTTTAACAGAGACTCTGTACGGTGATCTATGCACAGGGCGCGCGTCGTCCTCGGTAAAGATGCGGTGCTTCGCAACGGCTGTTTGGCGTACCTTCGACGACGTCGCAAAGCAGTCACGGTATTCGGCGAGGAGGTTAATCAGCTGCCGTCGTTTCGGGTCCGGAAGCTTAGGGTCGATGTCGAGTTGCGCTGGCGACGTACCGTCTTGCTGAGGTGGCGAGGATTCATCAGTAATGGCGGCGATTTCGGCGGAGTTTCGGAGATCCTCGACGTGGCCAACGGCTGCACCTTTTGTGAGGTGTTGCGTTTCATTCCGGAAGTTCGTCACGAGGACCACAGTGCGGCCATCCTGAAGTTCAGCTACTCCTCGTGCGACGCCTATTCCTCTTCCCAGGAGCAACTGGAGGTTACCTTCCAGAAGAACTTCGCTACGGGTAGCTGCATCGGTCACGACGGGTACGACAACACTTGATCGCGGCGGCAGATTCACGTGGTCGGCAGCGACTCGGATGGCGGCTGACGCAGTTTGGAGTTTCTCTGAAGGCGGAACAGGCGTCCGCAGCGTCAATCTGTTTTCTCCAAGGTCGATGACGGCGCCGTATTCACACAAAAAGTCCATGCCGAGAATGACGTCTCTGGAACAGTCTTGTAGAATGACGAATGACGACGTCTCTGGAACAGTCTTGTAGAATGACGAATGACGACGCGCCGTGAATTTCGACGCGAGCGGTGCACCTCCGAACAGGTGTGATGAGGTGTCCTCCTGCGGTTCGTATTTGGGGTCCATCCCACGGCGTCGTGACTTTGCGAAGGCGGCGGGAGAGCCTTCCACTCAAGACTGAGTAGTCTGCTCCGGTGTCCACCAGTGCCGATGCGTCGTGGCCGTCGATGATGACGTTTAGGTTTGTTGGACACCGTTTCAGGAGCGTCGTTTCGGTCTCCGGTAGCGTTCGAGTGGGGGCCCTCAGACGTTCGTGGAGGATCTTGGCGTCGGTCGTCTTCGGCAACTCCACCTCCAGGGGTTGCCGCGCCTAGTTTCCCCGGCGTGGAGCGAGGGGCGACAGGCTTTCACGTCGGGGTCGGTGCATCGGCGAAGCTGGACGTCGTGGTGAAGGCGATCGGAACGCTCGGCGGGACGCAGGCTCGGGGGACTGAAGTCGTCGCAGATACTCGTCGATCTCCCGAGGGCGTTCACCATGCCTGGGGCGCGGGTCGCTTGGGTGGAATCCGCGCAGCCCGAGTCGTCGGTATGGGCATCGGCGGTACAGATGGTCAGCTTCCCCGCAGTGGTAACACAGCGGGCGTCGGTCGGCCGTCCTCCAGACGTCTGTCTTCCTCGGCGCAGGTCGGTCTGGGTGAACGTGCGCCTGATCTTCCTGTCGTCGGGGATACTGCGGCGTTGGGGCGTCTCTTCCGGGTGGCGCCGCGGCTTGGCGGGGAGCTTGCGGCAGTCGTCGGGCTATGGCAGCGTAGCTCAACGTCGGTTCCTCCGGTGCCACCGTGGTGACGGGAACCTCTGGTTGGAGCGCCCATTTTACTTCCTCGCGCACAGCCTCGGCAATGGAGAGTGTCGCTGGACGACTTGCGGCTGGCAGCAACTGGCGGAGTTCCTCCCGGACGACCTCCCGGATAATTTCGCGGATGTCCGTACCAGGAGCGTTCTCGCCGCCAAGCAGCGCGGTTGCAGCGACACTTGGATGTCGCTGGTAGTGTGAAGCGCGCGCTTGGAGGGCGCGCTCGATGTTTGTCGCCTCGGTGACGAAGGCTTCGACGGTGCCCGGTGGGTTGCGCACGAGGCCTCCTAAGATGTCGTCTCTCACCCCGCGCATGAGGACCCGCAGCTTCTTGTTGTCTGTGGCTCGTGGGTCGGCATGGGCGCTCAGGCGGAGGACATCTTCTACGAAGCTTGTGATGCTTTCGTCGGGGCCCTGCGTTCGAATTCGGAGGAGATCTTCTGCCTTCTCCCGTCGGTGTAGGGTGGCGAACGTCCGCTGCAACTCGGCCACACAGATGTCCCACGACGTAAGCGAGGCCTCGTGATTCTCGAACCAATGCCTCGCAGTACCCTCCAGCGAAAAGTAGAGGTTCTGGGGGCACTGCTCCGCAGTCCATCCGTTGTGCCGCGCCACACGCTCGTAGTGCTTGATCCAGTCTTCGACATCCTCATGGATCTCGCCGTGGAGGGGAGTCGGCGTACGGGGAGCGGCGGGCAGGTAGACGACAGCGGCGGGGGTCGGCGACTGGTCGGCCATCGTCGGCTTCGTTGGCTGCTTGGTCCTGGGCGGCAGAAGTCCGAATTCCGGGTGTAGGCCTTGGGTGCGACGACTGAACCAAATCTCGGTGTGCCTTCGTCGGTTCTTCGTGGGCTTGGCGTCGGACTTGCATTGCGAACCCTCGGAGGGGAACGCTGCACGGGCATGCGTTACCCCGCACCTCCACCAATATGTCACGGGTGGTGACCAAAAACAATAGATGAACAGGAAGAAATAAACGTTTAATGTGGCGAACCTGTGCCAAAAATAAAAGAGTACAAAAGGTAATAACAAAGCGTCGCGGGCGTCGAAGTCGGCGAAACCGCAGGATCGAGCGCTGGGGCGAGACTGACTCCGCTCGCCTTGCGGAATCCCTTATGTACCCTCGTGGGTTTCTGGATCGTTCGGCGTAGAAGGTTCGGCGCGTGGAAGATTCTAACCTCGAATCAGCAAGACGGTTCTCGAATTCACCAGAACCTTACATTACAGTGTCAACAAAAATGCGTCTCCGCGGCCAGGAATCGAACCCTGGCTTTCAGCGTGGGAAGCAAGCGCGATAACCGTTAGGCCACGCGCGCGCTGCCTGCTTGGCCAGCTGCGCGCGGCAATATATATATATATCAGGGTGTCGAACCGGAACCGAACCGAACCGAAAACCGGAACCGAACCGGTATTTTTTCCGGAACTGAACCCGAACCCGAACCGTTATATTGTTATCGCGATGAACCCGCACCGGAACTGAACCGGAAAAAAAAAAATAACGGTTCCCTGCTCATGTCAAAACGGTTCGGCCACGCGCTGTTGACAATGAATGTGCTATCAATGCCATTTGTTTTTTAAGTGCCGTCAACTGACACACACCTCGCTTACATATTTTTCTTCTCCACTCAGTCTTAGGAATATAAACGCTGCATCCATGAATCTTGACAAACGCTGCATCCATGAATCTTGACAGAACCAGTATTGCGCTGGTCGCGGCTTGCACGAAAGAGAATTGGAAGGCTGTGCAAAAAAAAAAAAAATCGCGTCACGGGATTTTGTTTTCCTACAATCTCGTAAATCCTAAATGCTGCTCATTTCATAACACGTTTCTAGAACGCGCGAATTCTTGAAGCTTGCTTCCATCGGAATGAGACAAGAAAAGGCTGTTGTTGTTGTTGAAAAACTTTATTGAGTTGAAAGATTTAGGAAAGGGAAGGGGAGAAAGGGGAAGAAAAAGGAGAGAGTGGTTGTGTGCCCCTATTCCGGGGCTCCAAGTGCGGAGTGAACTCGGAGTGCTCGGGCCACGAGCAGCCTCTGCTCGCTAGCCGTCGCGTACTTGAGTCCCACTTTCCACTCCTCGAGTTTGGGCTCCTCGACTGGAGCCAGTCCTGGGAGGTTCTTGCATGCCCAGACAACGTGATAAACGCCCACCCAGGGCTCACCACAGAAGCGACAGTCCGCCGTGGCGTACCGCTCTGGGTACCACAGATGTAGCTGGATCGGTGTGACGAACGTGTCCGTCTGAAGTCGTCTCCACGTGAACTCTTCTTCTTTGCTGAGACCTTTGGCCGGCCCAGGATATTCTGCCCTATGTGTTCGTAGAGCCTTTAAGGCCTCACTGTAAGTGAGCGCACTGTCCAGATCCCTCTGGGGCAGAACCGAGTCCCGGTATAACGCACCTCGGGCCGCAGCATTCGCCGCCTCGTTTCCGACTTGCCCCATATGGCCGGGGGTCCAGATCAGATGTACTCCCTCTACTGCGGTTTTGCGGAGGAGCCTTAGAGCTGGTTGACCCAGGACCCATCGCGCAAAGTTTTGACAAGCTCTTTGTGAATCCGAAATTATCGTCGCACGAGGATTGCAAACCACCGCCAATGCTATGGCCGCCTCCTCCACTTGTTCAACCGTGTGCGCTCGTATGGAGGCGACGCGTCTGATCTGCCCTTGCGCACTGGCCACCGCTACTGCAGCCACCCCCAGCACCGGACCGGCCCCATCCACGTACAGGGTTCCCTCTCTGCTGTCCCAGGAACGCGCTAGGGCCACCGCTCGCGCTTGTCTCCGTTCCGCATTCCTATCCGGGTGCATGTTGCGGGGGATTCTACTGATCGTGAATCTCTGCCGGGTCTCAGCCGGCAGCTCTTCCCCCGCGTCTCCGGGCCCGTGAGAACCGCCGGGTACTGCCATTCCCAGTTTGTCCAGAAGCCACGCTCCATTCACTGTGGAAGAGAGTCGCTTCAGCTGTGACACTAGTTGAGCTTCATGAAGTTCTTCTATGGTGTTATGCACCCCAAGTTTAAGCAGTTTCTCGGTCGCCGTACGCTCCGGTAGCCCCAGCGCGTTTTTGTACGCTCTCCTTATCAGTACGTTTAGCTTTTCCATCTCCGCCTTGTTCAAGTTCAGGTACGGAGTGCCGTACGTCAGTCTGGCAATAATGAAGGCCTGGACCAACTGTATTGCCTCTTTCTCCTTTATACCGTGTCTACGGTTCCTAATTCGCCTCATCATACCGCACACCTGCGTGGTCATGGCGTCCAGTCTGTCGATAGTCGACTTGTTCCCCCTCCCCTGTTGTAGAAGCTGGCCCAGAATCCGAACCTCCGCTGGTTTTGGGACCCGGACCCCATCTATCACCACGTCAATGTGATCGACTAGCTTATCGCGAGGGTTTCGGAAGACAAGAAGCTCAGATTTCTCCGGGGCGCACTTAAGCCAGCATCTCATAACGTATACTCTCCGACGATATCCGCCGCCGCCTGAAGCTTCTCTTCTATTTCCGCGTCACTGCCCTCCCTGCACCACAGGGTGATGTCATCCGCGTAGATGGCATGCTCCACGTTCGGAACCGCCCTCAGCGCTTCTGGTAGACCCCGCAGCGCAAGGTTGAACAGGAACGGGGAAAGTACTGCCCCTTGCGGCGTACCCCTGGAACCCAGTCTGTATGTCCCAGATTGCATACTTCCCAACGTCAACGTGGCTGTCCTGTCCGTCAAGAAACTGCGGACATATTCGAAGGTTCTTCTCCCGCAGTTAACTGTGCTGAGACCCCTAAGTATGCTTTCGTGCGAAACATTATCAAACGCGCCTTTCAAGTCTAAAGCTAGAAGGCATCTCGTTTGGCCGCTCCTCGGATTCTCCAGTATATCCTTATATATCCACAAGAGTATGTCCTGCGTCGATGTGTGAGGTCTGAACCCGAACTGCGTGTTCGGAAGGAGTTGTTCCTTGTCTAGATATTTCATAACCCTGGAGTTTATGACTCGTTCGAACGCCTTGCCCAGGCAAGATGTAAGCGAAATCGGCCGCAGATTTTCTAGCTTGAGCTCCTTTTTGGGTTTTGGAATGAAGCGAATGTCAGCAACCTTCCAACTATCTGGAGTAAGCCCGCGCTCCCAGAAATGTTCGTTGAAATGGCGTACCAGCTCTTTCAGGTCCCCTTCCCCTAAGTTGTAGAGGAGTTTCGCTGTGAGGGAGTCCGGTCCGGGTGCTGCGCCCTTCCTCATAATCCCGAGCTCATACTCCAACTCCGCGACAGTAATTGGCCTGACTAATTCAGGGTTTTCCTGCCCTTCATACTCCACGATTTCTCCTATGGATTCCAAACACAAATACCTTTCCGCCAGCCGATCCATGATCTGCTTGCGGTTCCCGGGTAACTTATGTATCAGTTCCGCTAAAAGGCGGTGACGGGCGGCCGCTAAACGGCCGCCCGTCACCGCCTTTGCCCTACTCGGATCGATTAAGGCCCTAAGCATCCTCCATGCCTGAGCCGTGCCTAGGCTTCCCCGTACAGAGTCACACAGGCCATACCAGTTCTTCCTAAAGAAAAGGCTGTGGAGTTTGATAATAATGCATCCGGTTTCGTGAAGGCACTTAGAAGCTAACATATTTGTGAGACAGCGAACTCTTCTATTTTAATATTTATCCTATTAAGTCCTTCTGGCGTTACGTTCGGTGAAGTGTTTTTCTCCTTGTTTAATGAAAACTTCTTTAAGGGTCTAATTTGAGTTACCGAAGGCTAGTTCAAATAAAGAAAGCTGTATTTTCTCCCCACTGTTCCTTCAATTGCTTACACGCCGAGGTGGCGGGATAGTTAGCGAGTTCTACTTGTAAGTGGGTTTGTAAGGAGGTCGCGGATTTTACAGCTATTGCGTCGGACCCAATTAGATGAAGTCCGAATGAGTAAACGTCGGTGAGGTAACCTTTGAGTGCACATAAAGAAACCATTCCTGGTAGAAATCCCTGAGCCTTACACTACGATGTATCCCGTTTCGTATGTGCTGATTTCAGATGTTTTATTTGTAATTTAGTTTGATGTTGGAATTTGTCATTTATAATTTCCGAACCGGTTCGCGAACCGGTTCAGCGCTCCGAACCGGTTCGCGGATCGAATTAATCGAACCGGAACTGAACCGGAACAAAATTAATTTACCTGAACCTGAACCGTAACCGAACCCGTATTTTTTTCGGTTCGACACACTGATATATATATATATATATATATATATATATATATATACCGGGTGTTTTTGCGAAGACTTTAAAAAATCCTAAAAATTAGGGCGATTGAAAAAAGGAGAAACTCTCTTCGGGAACAAACTACCAGCCACGGCGGACGTCAGGAATTGCCAAAAACCTACTAATTAGCAAGATAATTAATTAAAACTTGTTAATTAACTTTTTAATTAGGGAAAATAGACATATGGTTCCAATTAGAAACTTGCTGAGCGTCAACGAAAACCACTAAATCAGTCATTTTCAGAAAGACTTTGAGCGCGCGAGACGAGTAGTAGTGCACTAAAGTTACCACTCGTGGAGCAGGTACAAAGCTAGCGGTTGCGGTAAGGCGCCCCGCGCGATTTTTCCGTCCCTTATCTAGCCCCAGCCCTGTACCTGCTCCACGAGTGGTAATTTTAGTGCGCTACTACTCTTCTCAAGCGCTCAAAGTCTTTCTGAAAATGACTGATTTAGAGGTTTTTGATAACGCTCAGCAACTTTCTAATTGGAACCATATATCTATTTCCACTAATTAAAAAGCTAATTAACCAGTTTTAATTATCTGGCTAATTAGTGGGTTTTTGGCAATTCCTGACGTCCGCCGTGGCTGGTAGTTGGTTCCCGAATAGAGTTTCTTCTTTTTTCAATCGCCCTAATTTTTAGGATTTTTGAAAGTCTTCGCAAAAACACCCGGTATATATATATATATATATATGCAGCCGTTAGCCACTCCGGTCTCAGTAAGGTAAGGGCGCGCGGACGGTAACAACAACATACCTGGTTAGTTTAAAACGTTTGTTCTATATGAATATATTTCAGGTCGAAAAATATACGGGGGCTCTTTTCGACACCCGAATTATACTTAACAATTACCGCGATATCGGATGATTGATGCACTGAAAATAAAATCCGATATGAAATTTCAGTTTTTTGTGCCCTTTTTTCAGCGTTTGGATTCTGCAAGAATGATGAAGTTAGAAACAAAAGCGTATTATGCATTATCCACACCAGCGATTACGTCGAGTCTGCATTATTTAAAACGAAGAAAAACGTTCCATGGTTCCCTTGGGCGTACTTTCCCCGTCGCGCCGGAGAGAAGCCCGACTACGCGGTGCACGGCCGCTGTATGGGAGCTTTCTGGATTTTCCTAATTACTAAACTCACCAACTCAGGCAAGAAACATAAAAAAAAGTGCAGCTACACGCGCACGTTTTTAATTTAATGGGGACCAGCGGGATTGGGACAATAACGGTGGAGCCCCTCTCCCTGCTACTTTCCCGCACTGCTTGCCTGCTAAGGGAGAAGCTCCCTTGTAATTATGCAGGCACGTAGGGTTGGCAATCGGGTCAGCTGAACACGAAAAAACGGGACACCAAGGAAATGACTGGACAAATGGACCGATGTTTGTCCAGTCCTTTCCTTCGTGTTCCGTTTTTCCGTGTTCAGATGACCCGATTGTCAACAGTATGTACCAACTAGCCCAACTGAAACCCATAGCACGAAGGGTGTCCGGTTTTATTTTCCTCCCCGACTTAGGTCAGTGTTAATTTTATTGAAGGCGGCTAGTGTGTAAAAGAGCGAAATATATTTACCTAATTAAGCAAGAAAGTAGGAAACGGTGCAAAACTGCCTAACTAAATTTGGAAAATGTTTTGATCGTTTCAGCCTTTGCACATTATCAAAAAGGCAGCAATTTGAGAACTTGTATCTTGTCTGGTACTTGCCAATAGAGAAATAAAGGCTGAATTAACAATGGTGGAAATCCATACTTAAAAAAATAAAAAGTGCAATATTTGTATCCAATTTTTTTAAAACTCGATCTTGAGTTGGCCATTTCACACGTTTTCTATTTTTATCCGTTTTCCTTTTAAATACCTAATAGCCTAGGCATGTGCTGTGAAGCCTAAGCTATATGTATTTTGATTTTTTTAACATACATCTGTTAATAAAAGAAGCTGCAGGTACTCTAACCAACTGTGTTTATATAGCCCAACGTTTTGTGGCCTGCTTGTTCACGGGCGACTTATTTGGCTGGGAGTTTGTATTTCTCTCCTCCTTGTCGCTGCCGTTTAAATCAATCTCCTCGCTTTGTTGCACCCTGAAGCCCGTGGATATAACTGCTTGGGATGGTACCGATCAACCTGTTCTGGTTGTTCTTTGTATGCTGAATAAGCTATAACTATAAAAAAGTCGTTTTTTCAGTTCCTTCCGAACCTGGAAAAAATGACTCTTTTAAGAGTCATGGCATATTCAGCATACAAAAAACCTGAACCTTCCCAAGCAGTTATATTCACGGGCTTCTAGGCATCACAAAAAGGAGAGATTGCTTTAAAGGCAGCGACAAGAAGAAGAGAAAGACAAACACCCAGCCAAATAAGTCACCCGTGAACAAGTAGGCCGCGAAACGTTGGGCTATTTAAAAACTGCTGGTTAGAGTACCTGCAGCTTCTTTTATTAATACTCACCTAACCAGGCAGAATTTTGCCAAAATGTTTACTTTTCAAACATACATCTGTTGAACGTAACTATTGTTATTATACTGGAAGATGAAAACCTTAGTCCTCCCAGTCCCAGAAAGCAACAGCTTAAGGCTGAACTCCATAGAGCGAGATATGCGACGAATAACTGACGAACGTCGCCCTACGGCATGCTCACTTTGCGCGGGACGTAGCAGCCACTCTGCCGATTCCATGCGCAGAACAAAAGCCGCCGGGAAAAATTAGATTTTTCACAGCATATTCGTCCCATGGAGTTCAGCCTCTATGGGTCATAATGCATATGCAAGTACAAAAGTTTCCTTGTAAATAAAAATAGGCTATCCCCCTTCGACTTGAAACTGACCTCCTAAGTTCTCAGGCGCACAAGGGACTAGGAGGAGGTTCACAAAGCAATACATGTAGTTTACAGGCGTGAGCCCTCACAATTTTCCATGCCAGCGGCAGCTGCCAGACTGTCAAATTTTACTTTGGGAACAGTACATACTTTATGGCATGAAGGATCATAAATGGATGGATGGATGGGATCTTTCAATGTAAATAATTCTCATTACCTACAAAAACAAAAATACTGTCACAACTTCAACAGTTTATTTACACAAACACACTGCACCCTTCCAACTTTTATTCAAGTGGTGACTAGCAGGCAGGACCAATGCCTTTGGTTCCGAGATGACGATAAACTGGGTGACAGAAACTTTGTGCTACAAGTCACAACTGAAGCAGCTTATTCAGAGTGGTGCCCAGGACGCCAATGGTGGGGTTCAAGCTGAGCTGCAAGAGAAAAGAATCGTCACAGTACAAGCACCGTAACCATCAATTTTAGACCACGTGGAAAAGACAGGGACTAAGGAGTTTGTTACTACTTTTAAAAACAAGAACTCTTGGATAATGATCCCCTAAACAAAGCGAATTGACAGCAAGGAGCTTTACAAGTTAGTTTGAACATTCAACAAGTAATCAAAATTGTTGGGAGTAAAAATATTCGAATATAGGTCATCCCTAATTTTGAAGTGGAAGGAAAGGAAATTCATACAAATATTTAACTCGTCGCATCATTTGTAACCCAGGTTAAAATTCATCTGTTGATTATGCTGGCAACGTCATCTTATGAACATTAAGAATGGCAACTGCATGCTTTTGTATCGAGCGAAAGCATTAAATATTGAACAAAATAGCACATTAGTTCACATAAAAATAGTGCTTGAGGCATTTTTGATCATAATCACAGACCACTGTTGTAAATCTTTTTTTATTAGAAATGTCACTGAAAACCTGTTCATTTTTGTTATAAATATTCACTCTACTATGAAAAGGTAAACTGGCACTGCAATTGACCCTTTAGCAGTGGTATGCCAGAGTAGTTAACATTACTAGTCAGGAAACAGTGCTTTGCACTAATACATTTTGCTTCACATATACTAGCTTGCAGATATTAAACACAAAGGCGCACAAACTGCAGTTGACACAAAAATAACATAAAACTACCTCATGTAAAAAAAAAAAAAAACACGGCTTATTGACGTCTTTCACGATTGCAGCCAGTGCATTGATAGTAGGGGAGATGGATGTATTTTTGGATCTCGCCAAGCATTTGATTGATTGTCCCGTCATCTAGCTGTTATGTAAAATTGCAGGTA